ATACCCCAAGTAAGAGTAGAGACATATGTACAATATAACAAAAATTGACTTTAAATTTGTATCAGTTTCCCAAAATTCATGCCAATGCAAAATATCCGAAATTAATAGTTGTCTTTTTATCTTATAGTCCTATACTCCCCTAAATTATAACAAATATTCATGTCCCACTAAATAACCAAAAGTCTTCCACATTCAAACACTTGGAAATGTGGGCATTATTTTCTCTGAACTGCTTCCTGATGTCTATGGGGGAAGGCATCATTAAGAGTCCCTGAGAAAATTGAGATAATTGGAAAGACCAGTGGTTACCTTTGTTGATAGATATCACCTGTCAAGATTGAGGAGAACTCCCTGATCTAACCTTATCCGTATTAACCTGGAGAAATTCCATAGCCTCTCCTTTTCTGTGGAAACAAAAGAAAAACATCTTCTCATAAGCATTTTTTAACTCCTTTTGACAAATACATGGATTCTTTTTTAAAGTTACAATAGCCCTAAAGTATCTAGATTTGTTCAGTTTTGCAGTCCTGTTCATAATACCATGTCTGCAAGCAGTTGTCTTTTGCTTATCAGTAATCAAAAAATTCAAAATCAACACAATACTACACAGGATCCAGGCTTCTTTGTATATTTTCCATTGTTATGTTGTCTTCTCTTTTATGTTACTTTTACTCTCTCCCTCTTTATTTAAACTTGAAACAAGCTTGTTTTACATGTCAATCCCAGTTCCCTCTCCCTCCCCTCTTCCCCTGTCCCCCTCAGTCCCCAGCCCACCCCTTTTCTGCTCCCCAGGGAGAATGAGGCCTTCCATGGGGATCTTCAAAATCTGTCATATCATTTGGAGCAGGGCCCAGGCCCTCCCCCATGTGTCCAGACTGAGAGAGTATCCCTTTACATAGAATAATCTTCCAAAGACCATTTGTATACTAGGGATAAATACTGATTTACTACCAGAGACCCCATAGATTGCCTAGGCCTCCTAACACCCACATTCAAGGAGTCTATGTCGGTCCTATGCTGTTTTCCCAGCTATCAGACTAGGGTCCATGAACTCTCCCTTGTTCAGGTCAGCTGTTTCTGTGGGTTTCTCCAGCCTGGTCTTTACCCCTTTGCTCATCACTCCTCCCTCTCTGCAACTGGATCCCAGGAGTTCAGCTCAGAGTTTAGTTGCGGTTGTCTGCTTCTGCTTCCATCAGCTACTAGATGAAGGCTCTAGGATGGCATTAAAAGACTTTATTATTACTAAACCATTCATTTCTTTCTAAAATGATGTATATACTTTGTCTTTCTATCTTAAGCCTATGCACACTGTTAAACACACTAGAACCTGTTTAGAGTTTTTTGTTTTTGTTTTTGTTTTCCCAATCTGAACCTCTTTTACTACATATCTCTTAGCCCCTTTTGACCGTGTCAACAAACTTTAACCTGCTAAGCTACAGCAGGCTTCTCTGCACCCCTCTGAAGACTGGCTCTGCCCACTTCTTGGGTTGTGAGAGCCAAACCAAAGCTCACAGCCTGATCAGAACTTCCTTTGACCAGGAATAGCATTCAATCCCCCAGAGTACTAGGATGTCGAAGCTTGCACTGTACCTGGCACTTTTACTTAGCTTTTTGTTTCTATTTATTGTGGAAAAGTTGTTTCAGTACTCTACTATATGGCTAAAGGAGATGGGGTTTTTTTGTTTTTGTTTTTCCAGATTTCTCAGGCCATAGGGATATTCCAGAGTCTCACATTGGTATGCTAAAATGTAGTTGGTTGGTTTTACTCTTTTTTGACTTTAGGGGCCCACCATATAGCTTCCAAATAAATACATAGATTCTTGTTATTACTTATAAATGCCTGACCTTAGAGTGGCTTATTTTTAGTCAGCTTTTTTTGTAACTTAATTATCCCATATACCTTTGCTTCTGGGCTTTTATCTTCCTCTATTCTATGTACCTTTGTTTACTTCTTATTCCGTGGCTTGCTTTGTAGCTAGATCACTGGCCCCTGATGTCCTCATCTCCCTCTCTTGCTCTTTCCAGATATCTCCTCCTATTTATTGTCTCTACCTGCTACCCCTGCCTATCATTTCCCCTGCCTGGCTATTGGCTGTTGAGCTCTTTATTAGACCAAGCAGGTGTTTCAGGCAGTCAAAGTAACGCAGCTTCACAGAGTTAAATAAATTCAGCATAAAGGAATACAACACATCCTTGAATCATTAAACAAATATTCCAAAGCATACAAGGATGTAACAGATCTTCAACTAATATTCCACAACAATATACAGAGAATAAGGAATGCTGAGAGTCAGGGGAAATAGTCTTCCTCAGTCTCCTAATTTGTTATCTAATACCATGCGTCAGCCCTGAAATTAAGTACATACAAGTAGAGTCAGATGGTTGAGAAGGTTGTACTTATTTATTTAGTGTATGTGTGATTGTGTAGATAGATAGATAGATAGATAACAGAATTAATGAAGAAACATGACTTTGAGAGGTAGCAAGAGGGATATGGCGACATGGCAGGGTTTGTAGAAAAGAGAGGGGAAAAAGAAATTATGTCATTATATTTGAATTTTAATTTAAAAATGAAATGGCTTTTTAAAATTCCATATGTATGAGTATTTTGCCTGCAGGTTTGTATGTATGTGTACCACATAGGTGCCTGGTGTATGGAGAATCCAGAAAAAGAGTGAGAGTTCCACCAAAGGGTGATGGGAATCCAACCAAAGTTCTCCGAAAGGGCAGCAAGTGCTTTCAATTGCTGAGCCTTCCCTCCAGCAAAACAAAAAAAGATAAAATAAAAATGATGTTCCCAACTTTTGTTTCTTCTGTTGTGGCCTCCTGGATCTTAGCTATGTACTTAATGCATACTGGAGATTTTCCTACACCAAAACCCAGATTATTAATTAGAATTGAACCAAATACTTAAAGCATGTTACAAATACTTGACAGCTTTGTGAATATTCACAGGCACTATAAATTTTTAGTTTGTTATTTTTAATGTTTCCTATACAATGACATGGTAAGTCCCACACAAGTGTGCTTTGTTATTTCCTCACAAATGTTTTGCAATGCTTCTACTGTTGGTTTAACTGTACATTTAATAAAATGGTTGTTTCTGCTAGTCAATCATCTTTAGCAATATAATAACATCTGTAAATTAATGCTACACTGTTATGCCAACACTACTCCTGTTAAATGAACTTAAATTATCTTTATTTTCTATGTACATGAATGTCATAAGCCTTTATGAGGTTATTACTAGTATGCATTTTCTGTTTTCATATGTATTCATATGTAGGTGGAGTTTTCTCTTGGGGGCCACTGGTCAGCTTTGTCCTGCCATCCAACTCCCAAATAACCACACAGAGACTTATTATTAATAATAAATGTTCATGGCTCCTTCCTTTTTCTTCCCCATGATCTTTTGTCCACGAGTTCTACCTAACCTCTACCTGCCTAGCTATTGACCATTTTGCCCTTTATTAAGCAACTGAAAACAAATATTTGCACAAAAAGATTGTTCCACAGCAAGCATATAACATACATGTGTGTATGTGTCTGTGTATGGTCAGGAAAGATAGTTCCCATGGTTCTGACGTACATAGTGCAACAGACTTGATTCCAATCAAATGAACCAAAGTTTATGCACAGGGTGAGTAAAGCATTTAAAAAATTCTCCCTCTGTTTAATTTCAAAAAGAGACTGAAAACCATGTTTTATATTTTTCAATTTTTATTCCCATCTTATATAACTCCATGTTACTTCTTATCATTAAAATCACCATTTTCAACCCCTAAAATGGTCTGAGTACCAGATATTTGTTCACAAACTGTGATCAAACCTCATTCACCAAATAAGTCAAATCTGCTGTGGCTGTGTGGTATTTCTTCACAGGAAGAAGAGACTAACCTTGACATTATCGGTCTCAGAGACAGAAATTACACAGACATCTCTACTTTCGGTTCCAAATTGTTGCTCAGAACAAGGCCGTATTTTCTAATTGAGTAGAAGTCTTTGATTCACAAGACACAGGACTTCCCTTCTCTGCCCAGGACTGTGAGTGTATATGCTTATGCATGTGTTTCTAACAACTGTTTTCCAAGAAATGGGAGTTTTATGTCAACTTAGGAGAAAGTTCTATAACTGTTTACACGGTATGGTAATTCTAGCTTAAGAGTTTGAGTAGAATTGCTAGATGAGAAGATGGCTTTTCTTGTCTGAGGTATTAATATATTCTTTATTACAATATCCAGTGTCCATAATCAGGAGATGTCTACAGAAGAGTAAAAAATTATGTTGCTGACCTAATAAGCCTTACTACCTCTTAAGCAAAATATCTTTTGGGTATTAGAAGGCTGATGTTTGAATGAGAATTCTCACATCTTATGGAAGGTACCTTTGCTTCTGAGATAACACAACTTGGCAGTCACGAAGAGACAACTTATATCCATTTCATCCAATTATCATAATAAAAATATGAATACCGTTCATTTTTAAAATCCAAGCAATATTTATTAAATAGCTACTCTCTGGGAACACTGACAGACAATATAAAATGTTACAATATAAACATACATGAAATCATTGCTGAAAGTGGTAGCATTTTATTGATAGTGGTAAACAGAAGCTTTACTAAAAGATAAAGAAAAAATGTACCACAGAAATTAATGTATGTGACATGAACTTACTTACCAAAAATGTTCATCACCAAATAAAAATGATAAAATTGTTATGTCAGGAAGCCAAATATTTCTTATTAAATATCTCAGTGTAACTGAACTTAAAGTATTTATTATATTTTATGGTATTTAGAAGCAATGGGTCTTCATTTTACAATAAAAAAATGTTAATCAATTTCCCTTTATCTTATGTGAGCTATTGTTTCCATTATTTAATGTTTAAGAAAAAAAAATTTCTGTATTTTTACATCTCCAATACAAATATTTCATCTCAGTACAAAGGTATCAGAAAAAATCTTTTGTACTCCACCTTATTTTTTTTTTTTAAAGAATCCTTTGTGCTTTACAGAAATTAGATCAGTCACAAGTGGTGGCACATGTCCTTAATTCCAGCACTCAAGAGGCAGAGACAGGGACAGGCCATCTCTGGTAAATCAGAGATCGGCCTGGTCTATATTGTGAGTTCTAGGATAGCCAGGGCTTCATAGAGACACACTGTCTCAAAGCAAACAGTTAATTAATTAAATAACAAAAACCCAGAACCCGGGTCTGTTCCTGAAGTAAATGTGTCATAACCATCACATGATGACACCGATTCGTGATCGAACATCTCATCATGGTCCAGGTATGTAATGTACATGTGAATGTGTATGTCTACTGCTCTGTAATGCTAACACACCCAGCATCTATATACAAAGCATGTCAGGCCTGGGAAGCCACTTACCGCTATTCTCACTACGTGTATTTCACGTCATATTTACTTTGTGTTTACATTTTAGCTTTTATGAATGTGAAAAGAAAATTTCCCTTTACTTCGCCATCTATCTACTGTGAAAGCATTTAAACAGGATACATAGAATTAATGAAATGGCATAAGGACTTGAAGTGGAAAGAGCTGGGTTTTAATCAACTTTTCCCAGCTTTCCATTTTTAAATTGGGGCAGTCCATGGTCTCTGCGAATTTTCATTTCTCTTTCTACCAATAGAAAAATAAAGATTTACCTTAGTGGAATTAAAGACTATGCATTGCATGGGATATAGATTTTGAAAGTGTTTTCTGTTCTAAAAGTGTTATGGATTATCATAATTGATAATACCATGCTAAATGAACAATGTTATGCTGAATAGAACTTATTGTCAAATTTTTCACACAACATTATAACTGGTACTATTTTCTTCAGGTTATTAATAGGATTATGTGCAATCAATGTGTACGGTGAATATTTAAGCCTAAAAGAAAATGGGTTATATCTTTTCTTTTACAAAGTGATTCAATTAATGATGGAAATGTAAAGAAAACAGTTAAATGGCTTTGTCTAACTTGCTTTCTTCAAAGGCAAGACTGCCATATATATTCTGAGACTTTGAAGTCTACTATTTAGGACTTTGTGTGTCCCTCACTGTCAAGAAATTTGACACTTTAGATTTACTCTTTGTATGCAGTTGGCACTATTGATACCAAGTTCATCACATTTAATTTAATTGTTATGATGTTAGGATATTGTGTAGATACTCTTTCTCTTCTGCAATGTAGGACACTTGATACAGATTTTAAATTACTTCTGCTTATTTATTACATCTGGGTGTATGGCATAATTATATGTCTGTCTTCTTCTACCATTTACTTCCATTATAAAAAGCTTGCTTCAATGTTAGATTTCATTCTACATTGTAAATTCATTTATTTCAAAAGTACTTACTATTTTGCTAACACTATTTCTCCACAGAATGTACATTGTTTTATATATACATATGTTATGAAGCATAAGCATCATAATGAGATAATAAAAAGCAAAAGGAAACTCATGTCATCACTTAAAAGGATGCTTATGGAATGTATATCCATAGAAACACAAATTGAAAGGTAGAAACCTATTCTTCAAATGGCAGAAAGGCCATTGACTTGTGCCAGCTTGAATTGTTTTCTCTAGAGACGAGCAAATGTCATAATTACAAACTCAAGCCCAAAAAGAGGGATGCTTCTCAAGTGTGGCAGAAACAAAGATCTGCACCGTGTCCTAGCCAGCCCAGAGAAAATGGTAAGTCTCGGGTTCCATTTGTCTCCTTCTGATGGTCCGACATGAATGTAGAAACCATACTATTGTCAGTGACGATGCTTGTGCTTACCTCCCCAGGGAAGTAAGTTGTATTTGCTCTAAAGTAATATTAGGAAGTGAGATCAAGTTACAGATGATGAGAGAATTTATCATAAGCACAAATGAAACAAGAAATTTGGGGTTGGTCTACCTTTAAGGAAGAATATCTAGAAATGGAGCAGAGAGAGGAAATTTAAGAACCATCCAACTATCGTCTTAAATATGATAGAAGCAATAAATGGTAGTAATTTTCAGAGACATTTCTGAATGTAATGGAGACAGTTTGTACTCACACTATTTTCAAGCCAGAATATTATTGATATTAGAATTTGTGATGGCTGATGCAAAGGGGAGAACCTGAGCCTGGTATAGTCACACATGCCTGTTAACCCATGTGATATGTGATATGTGATATTCACCAAAGGTGAATGCTTATGTAATTGTGTACATGATGTTCAGTACAAATTCTTATTTTATGAGACTTTGTTCTTCAAATTTCTATAAACATAAGCTTTTATGAGAATATAAACACATAGAATATATACAAAATTCCTTATTATACTATTAAAAGTTAGGAAGATTTTTCAATTAACTATTAAAATGCAAAAAAATCACAGTTATTGCCATTATTGAACATTGTTTTGAGGTTTCTGAGTTACTGTTCAAGAAAAGGTAAAATATGATATGGATCACATCATAATTTAAAAGCAAAATTAGTGTATTTGACAAAGATATAAGTAAAAATATCTGAAAACTTGCAAATGGATACTCCCTAAATATTAAAATTAGTAGTAACAGAATTGGAATGTAGGCTTCACTAAAATTTAAGACGCAAATGAAAATCAATTTCTTTTCTAAGTAAAATATGAGCAAATGGTAATGGGAAAAAATTTTCTGAACAAAGATAAAAGAAAAAGGTAAAAATAAACTTTTAGATTAAAAGTAAGCTAGAAATGACTTCATTACTTAGTTAAAGTTGCTAATGAACAAAGAATAAAACATACAGAATGGAAATAGAAACTCTTCAAAGATAAAGACAGCACCTTATATGTGTACACAGTTATTAATAAACTTTGTGCAAATATCAACAAAAGAATACAAGTATTTATGAAATTTGACCTCTTTATATGTCAAAATATGACATGTCAGAACAAAAAACATACAGATATTTTACTAATACCTTAAATGCATGTTTTTTAAAAACAATGATTATAAGAGTATTCATATTTAATAACTCTTATATCCACATAGGAATACAATCAAGAAATGTGATTTATTCTAAGAGCAGAAAATAGTAGCATGATCTGTAATCTCACCATTCAGCATCTGAAGCTGGAGGACTGCAAATTTGTGTACAATCTGGGGCTACATAGATAGACTTTGTCTAAAAAAAGAAAAACAAAGCTTAGACAACTTACAAAGAATCATGGGAGCGGATACCACATTTGGTATTCTTATATTTAAGTCATTTTTAGAGTACTTATCCTGCTTGGCCTAAAACAAAGTACTTCCTCTTCATTCTCATAAAGATGAATACCAGCATTTATACTCAACAGAAAACCGTGGTTCATTGCCTTTCTTTTGCTCTGACATTTCCTGTTTTTCTTTGTTAGTATCTCCATCCTCCGTTAGCCGAGTCATTGCTGCAGCCATGGCAACACGCTTCGTCATTATCACGTTGATATGGTTTGCCATTTTCATAGCTTGTAAGTTAATCAATGGGGTGTAGCTTGATTAGATTTCAGAGGCACACTGGGGACCAGAGAGATGGCTCAACCAGGAAAAGGTACCTCAAAAAGATGGAAGGAAGAATTGAGTGAGTCCACGGTGCTGTTCTCCGACCTCCATACCCGTTCCATGGCACATAGGTGTCCTCACACGCATGTCTGCACTCACACACAGGTGGGCCCACACACGGTTTAGAAAGGAAAAGCCAAAATACAAGTGCAGAAACATACAAGAGCAATAGAGAAAGTGTCTTTTTACCATGCTGTTGCTGTTCCAGAAACATAAAAGTCACTTTTGTTTGCAGTAGAAGTTACTAACTCCTTTAAATCACAATTATTTTGATAGTGTTATGCAACAATGAGGTTCCAATGTCTTCAAGAGGTGAGTGAATCTTTTTAATATTAAATACAAATTGCACACCCTAGGATTTAGTATATATTCAAAGGCATTCACAAGAGAGAAATGAAATTGCTGGGTTTTGTCTATAGCTCGCTATAAACTTTATTGTTTTTAACTGTGAAAGCCATGTAATGGGTGGAAGTCATGGTATTGCTTTCCTTAATTCCAGCACTTCACAGGTTGAGGCAGGGGGATCGGGAGTTCACAGCCAACCTCAGCTCTGTAGAGTCCAAAGCCAGAATGGGTTACACAAGGCCCTAGCTGGAAACAAAAATGAATAATGAATAGTTTTTGCTTCGTCTTATTACATTTTACTTTGTCATATCTTGTTGTTATCTCTTAGAAGCCTGTTATTTTCTAATGAGAGACAGAAATGGAGTTGATCTTCAGGGAAGGAGAGGCGGGAAGAATTGGCAGGAGTAGGGGAGGAGAAAGTATAATCAGGATGTAATGTATGAGGAAAATATCTATTTTCAGTAAAAGAAAAAATAGTTGATGATCCTTAGTTTGGGGGTCTTCCTCCCTTTATATATTATAGTGGTTTAATTATTTAGAATTTGAGAGTTAAAACAGGAAATGTGTTTAACTTGCCTAGATAAAAATCTGCTCTTACATAGACTTAATCTATTCTCTTTCTAGAAGGTTACTGTGGTCAATGCCCTAATGACTGGATAAGTTATAGAAACAACTGCTACCATTTTTTTAATGAGAGCAAAAACTGGAACCAGAGCCAAGCTTCGTGTTTGTCTCAGAATTCCACCCTTCTGAAGATATACAACAAAGAGGACCAGGTTGCATATTTAATTTCATTTAATTCTAATACATGAGGTAGGTAGCTCACTAGAGCATGAACCTGAAACATACAAGAAGCATGAAGATGTTCTAACACCCACTCCAGACAATGTTAACAAAAAATCAAGAAAGTAGGAGCTTGGGAGAGGGCTCAGTGAGCTGAAGTATTTGTTCTAAGAACTTGGGAACTGTATATGAACACAATAGCACCCATTAGCCATTGCTGCACACGTCTCTAACCCCAGCACTAGGGTCATAGACAGCTAGATCCCAAAAGCTCCTGGCCAGTCAATGTAGTTGAAAAGGTGAGGTTTTGCTTCAGTGGTGGATTGTGTTTTGAGGCAATGAGGCAAGAGCGATGGAAGAAGATGTCTGATGTCTTGCCCTACCTTTTGTGTGCAAAACGATCTGCTGCACACTCATAACCATACACACTACACCTCCAAAGACAGAAAAATTAAAAAAGCAATGACACCTCACAAGTACCTATGTGACAGTGCTTCCTTCCCCAAGGGGCAAGTGAGTGACTTGGCTTTGTGTTTCTAATGTCCTGTTTAGATCTGTGCTTTTCTTGTGGTTTCTAATAGGATTTCTTTAAGTTGGTGAAGTCGTATCACTGGATGGGACTATTCCAGACTCGGGCAAAAGGCTCCTGGCAGTGGGAAGATGGCTCTACTCTCTCGCCCAATCAGTGAGTCTCAGACCGGCAGGTTTTGAGCTGGGAACCTGTTCAGCTGTCCCTATGAGCAATTGTTTGTCAGTTTCACTTTCACAATGCAATGCATTATCATATTCTAATAGAGTTAGAAAAATATTAGACCCTTAATTTGAAGGGCAGGGAGAAGAGCAGAGTAGCATAAATTGATTGTTAAGGGCTAAGTACTAAGAGAGACCGATCTTGTATTATGTCCATTTTATAAGTAGAAGGTTGAAGCCTTTGTGACTAGAATTATGAAGATAAAGCTACCATACAATAAGCTGTACTCCTCCATCCCCAGGACCCTCCTTTCTGGTTTTATGTTTGCAGGTATTTTAAAATACGAAGTAACTGCTAGCTGTTGTCACTCTATTGTACAATGGCACAATAGAAATAACAAATTCATGAGACTCCAAAGATGCTAAATACCTTTATATGATCAATACATGCCATTTATATGTCCCATCATGAGGCTACACTCCACAAATGCATACAATTATAGTGGCAATTTAAAAATTATTAAAGAATGCTTTAATGTGCCTGGATTGAAACTCAGAAAGAAATTACCTAATAGAAATATCCCTGCCTGTACCAGCTGTTTGTATCTATACCAATCATATTTCATACCTCATCATGTTAAGTGAGATTAACATCAGACCATTGTCTTTTTAGTTTTCAATTTCATGCTGAAATGACATTATTACTTTCTTGATTCTTCTATTTCCAACTTTTTCTTAGAAGAAGAATAATATAATGAACTTTTTCTTCTTCTAATTTATTTATTATATTAATAAATTTATTATATTAATTCATGGAATTCCAAATGTTAAGACAAAAGTAAAATGTACATGTTCACATACATACACACATGTGTGAGCACATATATGCTACACTAACACACACACTACACATGCATGTGCACACACACATATATAACACACATATGCACCACACATATACACATTTATGTGTATACATGTGGACGTGTGTTGAGGATATTACGAATACTTTTGATTACTTACCAATTATAATGTGTACACAGTCACCTCTTGGTAGCCATGGGTTATTATTTCAAAGTCTAACTCTCTCCAAAGACACTAAATTCCACGACTGATCATCATCTTTATTCAGAATGGCATAGAATCTGCTTGTAGACTATGGAAAATTCTGTACAATTTAAAACATTTTATGTTGTATAATTGTGTACATTATATAATACAATGTTGTATGATTGCATATGTGCTATATGTTGTATATATACATATATATAGTATGTATTATACAATACCAAGTAGAATGTAAATATTGTGTAAACAGTTCTCACACTGATCAGGAAATCAGGACAACATACAAAGTACAGAGATGTGGGCTTTGTTTAGAGTATTTCTTATCTGTAGTCAGTTGTATCTGGCAATGATAATCTGTTTACCTGCGGAAACTTGCTTATTTTTGCACAAAACATTACAGCAATTGAATTCTAAATTTAGTCCTACATCCATTTCTAAATACTTACTATTAAATAAACATTTTGAAGAATTTTTATTTAGGTTCATATATAAAGAATTTAGAATTTTTTTTTTCCAAGACTCATCTTCTCTGTGTAGCTTTGTAGACCACACTGGCTGGAACTCACAGAGATCAGCCTGCCTCTGCCTCCTGAGTGCTGGGATTAAAGGTGTGTGCTATCACCACCAGGCTTGAGAATTTAGAATTCTGAGGTGATTAATTTCTGATATGAGCACAAGAGCTGAGCGGTAGTGGCGAATTACTTTAATCCCAGCACTCTGGAAGCAGAGGCAGGTGGATCTCTGAGCTCAAAGCTGGTCTACTTAGAGAGTTCCAGGACAGTAAGGGCTAAACAAAGAAACCCTATCTCCGAAAACAAAAACAGAGCTGGAGAGATGGCTCAGAGGTTAATTCCCAGCACCCACATGGCAGCTAACAACTATTTAGGATGTGAGGATTTGACACCCTGACACAAAACATACATTCAGGCAAAACATTTAATGCAAATGAAAACTAAAAAAACTAAAAAATTAACTCATAAAAAAACCAAAACAACAAAAACAAAATTCCAAAAGAAGACATTTTTACTTTTATTTTTATTATCTAAATCAGCTCTGTTTTGTATGTGTGCAGGTTAGGAGGGCTAAACTTGGTGCTAAAACGATGTGAAATATATTTGAAATTCCCACATCAAATCCTATAAATAAGATTCCATGTTTATATCATCCATTAAACAAGTCTGGATGTAAATGCAGTTCTCTGTGTTCCAGGTTAACACTGGTGGAAATGCAGAGCGGATCCTGTGCTGTCTATGGCTCGAGCTTTAAGGCCTACACGGAGAACTGTTCGACTCCGCACACATACATCTGCATGATGAAGGCAGTATCGGGGCTTCATTAACCATCTCCGCAACACCCAGGGTGAGAGAAAGGGTTGTCCCGGGAGAAACTGGGTCTAAAAATAAAAGAACATTTGTCCAACACAAAACAGAAGGCCTACACCTTCTAGAAACAAGCCACAGAACAATTCGCCGAACATTCTATGTCCCATAAAAACAATTGCTAACTTGAAGATCATCAAGGCTGCCTGCCATTCACGTTATTTTCCCGTCTGCCGAAGATGTGGGGAAAGAGGCAAGGAGGAGCCTCAATTTCAAACTGGGACCAACACGTAAAGGAGCAAAGAGATTGGGAGGAGGCATTCCGGTACACCCTGGCACTTCAAGCTCCAGCACCATAGAAAAACGCAGGGTGATTGGTGATGCAGTAGAGAGCTACAGGGCAGTCCACACTGTGCCCCAGTGGTGTTGCAATCACCGAGGTGCAAGAAAGCCGGCTTCTGTGAGAGACAGCAGGGTTTGCTTAAGGGCAAGCAGGACTGCTTTTGGAACTTGAAGATATCCCGGAACTCGCTTTGTTTTTCCACTTTCTTTGGACTCACCCGCTCCCTTTTCCTCGTGTTTTCCTGTTGAGATGGCAATGTCTGTTGAAGGCCAGATACACCATTGCACTTTGGAAATGCATTACTTGGTTCATTTTACAAGTCACAACTAGAAAAAGAGTTTTGACTGTCTGCTTCACATCTGATTTGGGTCAAATTTAGATGAAGTCTTGACCTTGAGGTTTGAACGGTGATGCTGGAGGGAGCTGAAAGCCCCGAGGCTGTTAAGGTTAAATGAATGAAGAAATGAATTCCTGGGGCCATGGGTATAACGTTATATGCTGAATGTGCATGTCAAATGTCATATTTGACATCCCAGCTCCTGGTATTTTTAATACTAGGAGACAAGCATTGGAACATCGTGTTTTAAGTCACAAGCTTGAAGCCTTAGTGAGTGGGATTGCCTCTTAAGAAAATACCTGCAGAGACTACTCCCTCGTCTTTTGGCCACAAGAGAATACAGAAAAGTTCTGATGTACAACTTACAAGATTCCCTCACCAAACCCAACAGATGCTACTACCCTGGCCTTAGATTCCCAGGTTTCATAATTCTGGGAAATGGATTTCTGTTACTTACAATTTGTCTGAGTGTTTTATAATAGCACCACAAATAAGCTGAGACCAGAGGGGAAGGCAGTCAGGTAGTAGGTTTCACTGAAATTGAAAAGGGGGGGGGGGGGCGGGATAGACAAGTAGCTCAGAGGTAAAGAGGGCTGGGTTCATTCTCAGCGCCTACATGACAGCTCATGCTACCTTGACTCCAGTTCCGAAGGATGCAACACTCTCTTCCAGCTTCTGCAGGCACCTGCATGCACTTGGTGCACAGCCAAGCACAAAGACAAGCACTCACACACAAAACAAAAACAAATCTAAAACAGAAAACTGTGTGATATTGTCGTAGAATAATTTGCAACATGGAAAAATCCTAAGCCCATAGGCAGGTAAAAAGTTCTGTAGAATGTCACATGTAAATAGGACAGGGGGTCACAACAGAAAAGCAACCATAGAACCTGATTTTTCTCTGAGAGGTTGTAACAAACATGGCAAGCCTTAGATGGCTGTTCTGAAAGTTTTTGTGACTCGTTAGAAACATGAGATTTAGCTTAAGGATCACCAGAATAAGGCATTTCTCCAAAGGCTGCAAGCTTATAAGCAAGGAATAACAAATAAGACCTACACTTTAGAAAGTGGCAACAAGGACCCTAGCTATCTTTACCTCCAAGGAGATGGGGGTTGGGGGTGGGATGCAAACCTCTGGGAGGAATCTGTAGCCATGAAAGAGCCTTCATTCAAGCTTACAGCCCCATTCTGGCCAGCAGCATTTGCAGTAAAATGGGGTTGAAGAGCAAGATAAAGAACAAGATATAAGCAACACTTAATTTTACAAGTCTAGTATACAGACACTGTGCAATAGAGCCACCCAACAACACCTTGGTTTTTTTTGTTTGTTTGTTTTTTTAAGGGAAATAACCTCAACTCACCCCTTTAATATTTTTCACACATAGCCTGAACAGTAAAACAGAAATTTTGTAACAGTGGTACTACAGACTAGGGCCGTTTATTAGCTAACAGCCTTGTTTTAGTGTCCAGAGGAGCCTAGTGAGGGGTAGTAATCTGATTCATTGAGTAACTAAAGAAAGTTAATCTTAAAACTCATGAGAGAGAAAAAACTAAGCCATTCCTATGTTTCACACACTGTATCTAATTTGAAGATGCAAAAATCAATCAGTAAAATCCCACTTGCTTCCAAGTACTCAATTTGGACAGCCCTAAACATAAAAGCAAGACTAGAATACAAGGCAGGTTGATACCGCAGGCTACAGAGGAGGGAAGTTTTGTTCAGCTAGCAGTGCCAGTAACTTTACCAGAAAAGGGGGGTTTTAAAAAGACATTTAATAAAGAAAACATGAAAACAAAATGTAACATATTTAGATGCATTTCATGATGTGCTTAGAAAATGACTTGATATTTCTATAATGATCATCTCCAGTACCATGCAAAGAGCATTATACTTGGTCAGGAAATTGAGTTAATTTTGGAATGTAAACAAATTCCACTGTGGCTAGGGAAAGCCAACTTAACACCTTGTGTTTTGTTTAAACAGATAAGCCCTGCGGATGAGTGACTCACAGTTGTGAAGGCAGTTGCCATTAGAGGTAGTCGGTCTTTTTCTTGGCAGCATCATCGGCTCCCCAGTAATGACCTGAAGACTTACTATTAATTATGAAAGCTCGGCCTTAGCTTAAGCTTGCTCCCAACTAGTTCTTATAACTTCAATTGACCCATGTTTTTTAATACACTTTTTTTTTTTTTTTTAAATGTGATTATTGAAAGGACAGGATGGGCCCAGACCAGAGAGCCAAGACAGGCTCTCCTAACAGCTCTGACAGAGACCAGACTTTGGTTTCAGTTCCCTGGAATGTAGCCAGAGAGAAGTAAGCAGCTCTCAGGAAAATCACAACTGAGGGGCAACCAACAAGCAAGTGTCCCATAGCCTTCTGCTGGCTCCTTGGGCCCCCAGAGCCCCTTTGCTGGATCAGCAGGTGCCCCAGCTTTTTGGAGCTAAAGATAGCTTTCCCTACCCTAACCGCTAGTCCTCCCACCAATCAGTTTTCACACATCAGCCCCCAGCGTAATTTTTCCTCCACCAATCATCACGAGATTAATCCCTCCTCCCTGGAATTTCCCTAACTCCACTTAAAAGGAACTTGTGGCATTCTTTGGTGGTCACTATTTGCCACCCATCTTGTTGAAAACAATAAATGTGCCCTTGTTTATTGCATACATAGCTGTTAGTCTTTTCTTGGGGGGGTCTCTTGGACCCTAACATTTACCTTTACTCTGCACACCCCATCCTCCTTCCTCCCTGTCTTGCTGGCAACTCCTCCTTTCTCTTTCCACAGACTTCTCTATCCTCAGAAGTCCCGCCTAACCTCTTCTGCCTAGCTATTGTCCATCCAGCTCTTTATTAAACCAGTCACAGTGACACATCTTCACACAGTGTGAAGGAATATCCCAACAATTAGAACTGTTGAAAACTCTTCCAACTTTCCAATACAATTTGAGGAAGCTGCCCTGAGATGTGAAGGCTCCTTATAGCCCCCAGATCAAGAAAGACAGCATCCACTCGACACCCACTTTCTCTTTCTTCAATTCCCACTTGCTGTTGCGTGGAAAGATTGGAGAATCAGAGTTGACCCTGATCATACATGTCTTCTGTCTATCACAGAGGTGCAGGGAGAGCCTGCTGAGTTCTGGGGACTCTGGAGAAGCCTAGGGAGGAGGACACTGCAATTCTAGAAAGAAGGAAGCACCCTAACCCCAGGGCTTCTGACGGACAGAGCCTAGCACTGGTTCTTGAACTAATAGCAACACAGCAGGGGCTTTATTGAAGCATTAGTGCACCCACAAGAGCTGAAGTCAGGGTGCTTGTAGCAGTGGGAAACGGAAACAGAGGGAGGGTCGGTGGGGCTTTGTGGCATCTATGCTGACTGTCCTGATCTGGCTATAGTGATAATACTCTGGGCCTTGATCTCAGAATCCTCCATGTGGTGCTAGGGGAGGAAGAAACAAGATGTCTGTTTCTTAGCTTCTCTTCTTCGTTTTAAAATGTTCACCAATCAGGTCTGTTCTTAAAATACAACGTAACTGTAGGGAATAAAAGTTCGGGAGTTAGTTAGGAGGACTGGGCAGTCTATGGAGCCTCTGGTAGTATTTATCTGGTCAGCATTTATCCCTAGTATATGAATGGACTTTGGGAGCCCATCCCACATGGAGGGATATACTTTCTCAGCCTAGATACATGGGGGAGGGCTGGGGCCCAACTTCAAATGATATCCTCACCCCCTCCCTGGGGAGCAGAAAGGGATTTGGTGGGAGTGATAGGGGAGGATGGGAGGATGAGGGAACTGGGGTTGACATGTAAAACAACCTTGTTTCAAATTTAAGTAAAATAGGGGAAAAAATATAATTGTATAACCAAAACACAAAGAAGTTCAGGAGATGGCAGGCATTATGGTACGTGCCTTTAATCCTAGCAAGCAGGTTTCTATGGGTTTGAGGCCAGCCTGGTTAACATCGTGAGTTCAAGACCAGCCAAGAATACATAGTGAGACCCCATTTTATAAAACAAACAGTAGCCTAGGAGAGGTCAAAACCAAGAAAGAGAAACAGCATGGCATCAGCAAGAAAATGCATTTAGCCAGTAAGTGCCTGAGAGCACCTGTGTTTTCTTCCCTAGAGCTTTCCTGAGTAAAGGATTGTGATTTGTTTCTCTTTGAGAACAGACACAAACCCATCTATTGTCCTGACTCTAAGCAGCCAGTGGGAAAGTATTTAAACATGCTGACTGCTCTACACCACTTTGGGGCTTTGCACCCCAAGCTACCCCATTAGTTGTAGGCATGGAAAGAGGAGCTCTCCTGCTGTCAGGGGAAAACACAGAATCCCAGGCCGCCCATACTCCACTCTGATAATGGTTAACGACATTTGCTTCTAGAAGTGAAGCAGGAAACCACCTTGTAACCTGGACCTGCGGTGTACAACTTAGAAGACTACTGCTGGCAAACAGGAAGTTGCTTCGCATGTGAGATCTCACTGATATCAGGCAGATACCACAGAGAGGGGTCTGGGGAGCCCATCCACCCACTGAACAGGCTATACCCATCAAGATAGATTTCCCCCCACAAAAAAGAAAAAAAGCCTTGAAAATCAGATGGGGATGAGCCAAATACATTCTACACAGAGAACTGAAAAGCAAGGATTGATGCTTTAAAGGCTGAAGCAGAAAGGGTGGAAATCAACATGACCAGAGGAGGCAATTCAGGAGATATGGGAGATGTATAAAGAGCATGTAACATGAATGTACACAGAAAAGGCAAATTATTGCATGAATGACTTGTTTCATGAACTCTCTCCTAAAATTCAACACTTCAGACTAAAGACTAGCATTGGGGATACTAGCAATTTACCATTAGACCAGGCAAGCAAAACCTGGCAGTATATAACCTCTCCTTTTGTAATTTCTTTCCTCCAACTTCTCCCTATCCCCCTCTTTATTTATTTTGTTGTCAGGGGAACACACGCCACAGCTAGCATGTGAACACCAGAGACAACCCGTGGAAGTCAATTATTTCCGTGCAGCACATGGGTTCCAGAGTCTGAACTCATGTCTTCAAATGAGAGTTTTTAATGAATGAGCCATCCCGACGGCTCCTGAACTTGAATTTCTTGATAGTGTGTTCTTCAGTGTCTAATACCATGTTAACCTGCTTGTCAGAAAGGGCTTGGTTAGAAAGAGTGCCTGAGCTCACCTTGTATTCATGTCTCTTATGTCAAGTCTTAGTTTTGTTTAAACCATTTATGAAATTATGATGGGAAACATGGTTATAAATTGGTTACTATTTCCCCTTGTCTATGCAATGTAACCAAAATTTACATCATACATAAGACAGAGCTCTGCCAGGCTGTGTGGACTGCTTTAAAGCAGAGACCTGAGTGGCCCAGTGATGAACTGTTTGTTGCTCAAGGTAGTGGCACAGGCTAAGAAAGACTTTTAAAAAAAAAACTTGTTCAGAGTTGGACAATGCTAGCACTTCAGAAGAAGACTAAGGTTGGAGGATCTACATAACTCTGAGGCTGTCTGAGCAC